TGGTCATTAGCTTTATGATGTATTCATTTCATTTATTTTTCATAAGTGGTTCGCTGGATAATGGAGATAAGTGGTTCGCTCAGAAAATATTATTGGAAGAAATCAATTTTTAAAATACAAAAACATGTAAGCTGGTGCGTGACTTCTTTTTGGAGGTGTATGGTAGAGTTGCCTTTCTTACCTAAAGGGTGAAGTAGAGTTCACCTGTTTCTGTGACCTCATCAGAAATTCCTGTTTTAAAAAGACAAAAAAAATTGTGGCTGAGGACTGGAGGTCTGTCTTGTTACGCCAGCGGGGATGGGTAGGGGGGGGGGAATAAAAAGTGTCAAATAAGCTTAACATCATTTATGGAAGACCCCTAAACCCACAGTTATCCAAGGGATAACGGGCGATCTAGTATTTATTTAAAGAGTTACAAAACCATGAACACTATAACAACTTCAATGTCTACAAATGAAAAATAAAGACAAAAGAATAATTTTCCAAAAGATATCTGTATATCGAATTTTACATTAACTATTAATGAATCATTTGTTTTTTAGTATTAGGTCATTAAATTTCTTGCGGTCTGATTTCGTTAAGCAAGAGTTAATTAATTAAGTTGAAGAGAAAAAGCTTAAGCAGTTTCTTAAAATACATTACATGGGCTCATGCCAAGCTTGGCCACATTTCAATATAAATTTACTTACTATATATATATATATATATATATATATATATATATATATATATATATATATATATATATATATATATATATATATCTTGAGATTCCACAGAGAGAATATTTTTTCTTCCTCCTTCACACGGCTGGCAAAATGTTCCCGTGATACAGCTGGGCCAACCATTCGTCACACACCACAGTAGACCATTCGACCCGAACACAAAGACCGGGTTGGTGGTGTCACGACTCTTATTCAGGTTATGGGGGTCTTTATAAGGCAAGTCACACACCACAGTAGACATACAACACACTCAACAGGCGCAGGTAAACACACTACACTCTACACACAGGGCACCATCAGGGAACCTTTGATGTCACCAACTGGGAACCACTGATGTCACCAACAGGGAACCACTGATGTCACCAACTGGGAACCACTGATGTCACCAACAGGGAACCACTGATGGCACCAACTGGGAACCACTGATGGCACCATCAGGGAACCATTCATGGCACCAACAGGGAACCACTGATGTCATCATCAACAGGGAACCAATGATGTCACTAACTGGGAACCAATGATGTCACCAACTGGGAACCACTGATGTCACGACTGGGCACCACTGATGTCACGACTGGGAACCACTGATGTCACCAACCTAGTCTAACAGCGCTGTGTTTGCGCGAGCAGACAAGGGCGACAACTAGATCGTACACTCGGCGGCTGTCGGTTCTGTCTAACGCTTATATGCCGTCATGCTTTCAATATGTGCCGACATGCTTTTATTGTGTGCCGTCAGGATTTCATTGTGTGCCGTCAGGCTTTAATAGTGTGCCGTCAGGATTTCTGTGGTGAAACATCGGCAAGTGGTGAGACAAACTAGTGGTGAGACAAACTAGTGGTGAGACATACACCTAGTGGTGAGACATACACCTAGTGGTGAGACATACACCTAGTGGTGAGACATACACCTAGTGGTGAGACATACACCTAGTGGTGAAACATACACCTAGTGGTGAGACATACACCTAGTGGTGAGACAAACTAGTGGTGAGACATACACCTAGTGGTGAGACTTACACCTAGTGGTACGACATACACCTAGTGGTGAGACATACACTTAGTGGTGAGACATAAACCTGGCGGTGAGACATACACCTAGTGGTGAGACATACACTTAGTGGTGAGACATACACCTAGTGGTGAGACATACACCTAGTGGTGAGATGTACACCTAGTGGTGAGAATTACACCTGTGGTGAGACATAAACCTGGTGGTGAGACATACACCTAGTGGTGAGGCTTACACCTAGTGGTGATACATACACCTAGTGGTGATACATACACCTAGTGGTGAGACATAAACCTGGTGGTGAGACAAACTAGTGGTGAGACATAAACCTATTGGTGAGACTTACACCTAGTGGTGAGACATAAACCTAGTGGTTAGACATACATCTAGTGGTGAGACATACACCTAGTGGTGAGACATACTCCTAGTAGTGAGACATAAACCTGGTGGTGAGACATACTAGTGGTGAGACATAAACCTATTGGTGAGACATACGCCTAGTGGTGAGACTTACACCTAGTGGTGAGACATAAACCTTGTGGTGAGACATACACCTAGTGGTGAGACATACACCTAGTGGTGAGACATAAACCTGGTGGTGAGACATACACCTAGTGGTGAGACTTACACCTACTGGTGAGACATACACCTATTGGTGAGACATACACCTAGTGGTGAGACATACACCTAGTGGTGAGACATACACCTAGTGGTGAGACATACACCTAGTGGTGAGACATACACCTAGTGGTGAGACATAAACCTAGTGGTTAGACATACATCTAGTGGTGAGACATACACCTAGTAGTGAGACATACTCCTAGTGGTGAGACATAAACCTGGTGGTGAGACATACTAGTGGTGAGACATAAACCTATTGGTGAGACATACACCTAGTGGTGAGACTTACACCTAGTGGTGAGACATAAACCTTGAGGTGAAACATACACCTAGTGGTGAGACATACACCTAGTGGTGAGACATAAACCTGGTGGTGAGACATACACCTAGTGGTGAGACTTACACCTACTGGTGAGACATACACCTATTGGTGAGACATACACCTAGTGGTGAGACATACACTTAGTGGTGAGACATACACCTAGTGGTGAGACATACACCTAGTGGTGAGACATACACCTAGTGGTGAGACTTACACATCTGGTGAGACATAAACCTGGTGGTTAGACATACACCTAGTGGTGAGACATACACCTAGTGGTGAGACACGTAGTGGTGAGACAAACTAGTGGTGAGACATACACATAGTGGTGAGACATACACCTAGTGGTGAGACATACACCTAGTGGTGAGACATAAACCTGGTGGTGAGACATACACCAAGTGGTGAGTCTTACACCTACTGGTGAGACATACACCTAGTGGTGAGACATACACCTAGTGGTGAGACATACACCTAGTGGTGAGACATACACCTAGTGGTGAGACATACACCTAGTGGTGAGATACACCTAACGGTGAGACAAACTAGTGGTGAGACATACACCTAGTGGTGAGACATACACCTAGTGGTGAGACAAACTATTGGTGAGACATACACCTAGTGGTGAGACTTACACCTAGTGGTGAGACATACACCTGGTGGTGAGACATAAATCTAGTGGTTAGAAATACATCTAGTGGTGAGAAATCCAACTAGTGGTGAGACATACACTTAGTGGTGAGACATACACCTAGTGGTGAGACGTACACCTAGTGGTGAGACTTACACCTATGGTGAGACATAAACCTGGTGGTTAGACATACACCTAGTGGTGAGACTTACACCTACTGATGAGACATACACCTAGTGGTGAGACATACACCTAGTGGTGAGATATACACCTAGTGGTGAGACATACATCTAGTGGTGAGACATACACCTAGTGGTGAGACATACACCTAGTGGTGAGATACACCTAGTGGTGAGACAAACTAGTGATGAGACATACACCTAGTGGTGAGACATACACCTAGTGGTGAGACATACACCTAGTGGTGAGACATAAACCTAGTGGTTAGAAATACATCTAGTGGTGAGACATACAACTAGTGGTGAGACATACACTTAGTGGTGAGACATACACCTAGTGGTGAGACATACACCTAGTGGTGAGACGTACACCTAGTGGTTAGACTTACACCTAGTGGTGAGACATACACCTAGTGGTGAGACATACACCTAGTGGTGAGACACCTAGTGGTGAGACATAAACCTGGTGGTGAGACAAACTAGTGGTGAGACATAAACCTATTGGTGAGACAAACTAGTGGTGAGACATACACCTTGTGGTGAGACATACACCTAGTGGTGAGACATACACCTTATGGTGAGGCATACACCTCGTTGTGAGACTTACACCTAGTGGTGAGACACCTAGTGGTGAGACATAAACCTAGTGGTGAGACATAAACCTGGTGGTGAGACATACTTCTAGTGATGAGAGATGATGATGATGTGGGTCATTAGTGGTAAGCTCTCACAACAAGTGCTATTGTTCTTCTCTAGTGTTTACATCCACACAACTATTTTTAGATTCTTCAATTGTCGGGTCTGACTCGTCCATTTGGTACAAGATTTTATTCAACTTACTTTGTCTCTCTATCTTTCTGTCTGTATCGAAACTAGCGAGCGAAATTTCGACCACTTCTAGCCGACCCGTTTCTCTGAAACATGGCATGTGTGACCCGAAAACAAAGCAATCTGAAATTAAATTTGACTTAATTCAATAATTAGATGCTTAATTAATTTTTAAAGAATTAATTAAAATCGCCTACATTAATTACTATTCACTGCACTATTATACGCACATTTTTCATGGTGCGCAAGTATTTTTGGTAATAAAACTTTTTAAAACAATTTTAAAGTACGGCTTCTGAAAAAAAAAAGCGTTTTAATAAATTAACAAATTATTATTTAATTATGCAATAAAAGTGAAAATAAATGATTTTCTTTAAATTTATCATGATGAACTACTATTTGAATAACTAAGTGTAAAAGCGTTTCTGTCTCTATGTTATGTATTGAATACCTTTACTAAAATGTAAGAAGCGACCCACATACATATGTAAATGTAACTGTAAGTGTATGTGTATGAATGTATATATATATAATATATATATATATATATATATATATATATATATATATATATATATATATGAATGAAGTGTGACTATAACTGTGCGGGTGCTACTGTGTGATTGCTAGTGTGCGTTTTACTAATAAAACCTAAAATATTTTCTCTTATGCAAAGGAGATTACATCCATTCTAATTACTAAAGACTGTGGCCAGCTAGGCAGAAGCCAGTGCTAAACAAATGGATCTTTCCTGGCATTTCTTTCTTCTGCTGACGGCCACCATCCAAGCCGCGTCTAGCAGTACAGAATCAGAACTCTCTGAGGCCGGTACAAACTTCTCCGATACCCTGGGTAGTCACAGCTACAGTACATCACCCCCAACAGGGGCAGGATGGGGTGCACACCCGCCCATCGACTACTTCCGGTGTGAGCCATGCAAGTGTCACCATTTGGCCAACCTGTCCATTAGCGCCGACTGCTCTACCCTAGCGCTGGGCACTGTACCCCTGGGCCTCCCCGACAGAACCACACGTCTAGTTCTCTCCTCGTGCGACATCACAGCCTTCAAGGTCACGTCCTTACTTGAATACAAGTACCTGGGCTACCTTGACCTCTCCAATAACAAAATGTCAAGGCTATCAAACACAAGTAACGCCATCCAATGCAAGGTCAGCGTCAGTGCCCTTGACCTTTCGTCAAACAAAATCAGCACAATTGACGATGGCGCCCTCTGGTGCTTCCCCCAGCTGACGACCTTGAACCTGCAGCAGAACGAGCTGGTATACTTGGGTAATCGGACGCTGCACGGAGCGGCCAGCCTAAGACAGCTGGACCTGTCCTACAACAGACTTCACAGCCTCGGGCTCGGCGTCTTCGACCCAGTGCCCCAGCTGCGCGTCCTCCGGCTGGGCCACAACAACAACTTCACCTACGGCTACAACAGATTCCACCCGCGTATATTCCAGCCGTTACAACAGCTGGAGGTCCTGTACGCCCAGCACCTGTACCCCAGCAACACCTACCCGCTAGCGGCTCTAGCCGTGTTGACACAGCTGCGGGAGCTGAGTCTAGACGGCTCCGATCACAGCTTTGTCAACACCAGCTTGCGTCACCTGGACAAACTGACGTCACTGCTGCTTGGCGTGGACGGACTGTGCAGCATTAAAATACTGTCCAAATCTTTTTTTCATGATCTGCCGCAGTTAAGATCAATTCACATAGAAGGATGTCCGCTGTCCAATATTTCTGAGGAGGCGTTCGACAAAAATATTGACCTAGAAAAAATAAACTTGACGCTAATCAATCTTTCTTTAGGTCGAATATTCCAAGGTCTAGGTGGCTTAAAGAACGCATCTGTCCGCTCGCTGACCTTGAGCAAAATTCGCGCAGGTCACATGGACGCGTGCGCATACCTGTCGCAACAGGAGGCTGCTGGTCTCAGGGACATGACGCACCTGGAGGAGCTGTACCTGGAGAACAACGGCGTCTCCTTCCTAACCCACGGCTTTCTACGTCTGCTGCCGACATCCATCAAAGTCCTCAGCGTTAGCGGCAACCTTCTGACGCATGGCCGGTCACTCCTGGCCACCCACAAGCCCAAGGCCGGGCCAGAGCTCCTGCCCAACCTGGTCAGCCTGCGAGAGGACATGCAGGACACGGTGGTGTACCACGGGGTGGCTGGTGCTGCTGCACCGGAACAATGCTCGGGCACTTCCGGTGGGATGGGGGGAGAAGAAGATGATCGCAGCGATGATTCACAATTCGGGCTGGATGTGAGTGCCAACCCGCAGGTCAACTTGCCCATTAGTGCCAACCCGCAGGTCAACTTGCCCATTAGTGCCAACCCGCAGGTCAACTTGCCCATTAGTGCCAACCCGCAGGTCAACTTGCCCATTAGTGCCAACCCGCAGGTCAACTTGCCCATTAGTGCCAACCCGCAGGTCAACTTGCCCATTAGTGCCAACCCGCAGGTCAACTTGCCCACTGGTCTACAGGAATATTCTGCTGTCCACTCATTCCACTTTGGTAGCGAGGCTTTCAGCGGGGGGAGAAAAAAACGTCTCAAGCTGGGGAACCTCAAGATCCTCAACATTTCAAACACTTTCTTTACTCAATGGGGATCTAAAAAACTGGAGTCCAGAGTCCAAGTGGCGGACCTATCCAACAACTTTTGCCAATCTTTGAGCCAGACCTTCCTGAACGTTCAAAACTCGCTTGTAACTTTGTTAGCAAGCGGGAACTATCTGGGTCACGACTTGGCTGCAGACATTCAAGGTGAGAAGTTGTCTCGCGGCCAAAAGGTCAAACACCTGGACCTGTCAAACAACCGACTGCAGGACCTGCCAGAGAAGGTCTTCCAGGGCCTGGTCAGCTTGCAGGTCCTCACCCTCTCCTACAACGACATCCACTCCATCAACATTCGTCTGGCACACATGAAACACCTGCTGCTCCTGGACCTCAGTAGAAATTCTATTTCTTGGATCGGTCAACGGATGCGGGATGACCTTGACCAGATAGCTTTGAACCACAGCGTGAGCCTCGATTTGAGTTCAAATCCACTTCCGTGTACGTGTGACGGCCTGGATGTTCTAAGATGGCTGGCGATGACCAACGTTCGAATCTTACACAGAGATTACTTGTACTGCCTGGATCAGGAGAAGAGACAATCTTACATTGGAAATGCCTCCCAGAAGTTCCACACTCTTCAGAAACTGTGCTTATCCCAGAAATATATTTTCGTCATCACATCTTTCACCGCCGCCTTTCTTTTCTTCATCTTCAGCTCGATCGTGATCTTCAAGAAGCGTTGGTGGCTGTATTACATGCGCAGTGTCATCATTGCCAGAGTGTACGGGTTCAGGCCCAGGCTTGAGCCGGCCCGCTTCAAGTTCGACGCTTACATTGTGTACTCAACAGCTGACGTCAGCTTTGTGTTTGGTGAATGCCTGCAGGAGCTGGAGGTTAAGCGGGGTCACAAGCTGTGTTTAGAAGATCGGGACTTTCTGATTGGTTCATTTATCCCCTGCAACATCACGAGCGCCATCAGCAGCAGCAGACTGACGGTCGCCGTCATCTCACGGGACTTCTGGGAGGGGGAGTGGACGGAGTACTCCGTGCAGATGGCACTCGTTGAGCATGCGCAGAGCAAGCGGAAAGTCCTTCACCTTCTAACATACAAGGACGTGTCTGCAGAAGATCTCCCGCGGGAGCTTCTGAAGGTCTACACAGCTAATGACTTCAGCGAGTACCCTCCAGCAGACTGCAACAACGACGTCAAGGCCGCCTTTTGGGACTCGTTCTCTCAGACTATAGGGCACCAGGCTGGGGAGCAGTGATTGTCTCCTAAAGTTTGTGGCGCCATGCTGTGATTGTGATTGTGCCAGTCTCCTAAAGTTTAAAACAGTGTCGCTGTGTCAGCTAGTGTAAACAATCTTTCCTTGTATTTTTTGTGTGCAATAAATAAATATAAATGGAGCTGTTCAATGACTGTTGATTTATTTTTCGTCATAAGTGATGTCATAAATATTAAGTTAATGGATTTTTAATTGCTCCTTTAAAATGTGACTCCTTCTCGTTAGTAATATATATATACTAGCGTACCCGACCCCCGCGCGTTGCCGCGGGGATAGTAGAAAGTTTGACGAAATATATTAGAAGGATTTCACCAACACGTTACCAATCATATGTTCTTAGACGCGTGACCTTCTTTTCTAAAAATCAGTTATTTAAATGTAAATAATGCCTGCGTTTGGATCATAAATATCAGGACACGGGTTTACCTACAGTACCGCATGAAAACCTTGAGTGTACATTAATCACTCACCAAAATAATATGGTAGAACACACTTCGGTGACCGCCCATGTGTCAGAGACGTAGAGGCCCGCTCTAAGGAGCCCCCCCCCCCCTATTACACTACTGCATTGGCGCGGAGTACGACCCCTGGCTCCTTCAAATAGCATCCTGTTAACAATGATGCAGATTGCGTCATTCACTAAGTGACACAAATGAACAGAATTTGTTATTTAACACGTAAAAAAATATTTGACGCGTTTTAAACATCAGTGTGACTGATGCAATATGTTAGCGTTAGTAATGGTCTATTCTTAGATGCTCGATCTCAATTTCTGTTTGGATTATCTAAAAATAGATGCTAATTGCATCATTCGCAAAGTGACGAAACTGTTAATAATCTAACCTTGGTTAATTTTTCTGATTATTAAAATAAAACGTATTACATGGCCCTCAGCGGCCCATGTGAGCCTTTGGGGCCGAGACATTTTTTTTGCAGCCTAATCGCACCCTACCAGGGCGCCAGAGGACACGCCTGATTCAATTTAGTAAGCGTTTGTAATGCCCCATCCTATCCATTGTCTATTGCACTGTTTAGACCGAACGTATTCACCATAGCGCTCACGGGAAAGACCAGGGCGCCAAATCGCATCCTGCCGGAAGTGGGGCCATGCAAAATTAAATCCCCCGCCCCCACCACCCACATACCCCTATTTCCCCCTCCCACCCCAGAAAACTTCTCAGGAGTATTCATCAACTCCCTAAAGTTTTATGGCACTGGGATAAATTGCGTCGAACCGCAATAGTCTTTTATTTTTATATACCGCATATTTAGAAAAATCCCACCATACCGTGGCGCCACCCTTGCGAATTTTAAAAATGATTTTTTACAGAACCCTTCCCTGGAGTGTTCTAATCAAGTCCCTAAAGTTTGATGGCTATCGGATGAACGTTGTGAGACCGCAATCGACTTTTATTTTTATATATCGTATATAGAGAAAAAACAAATCGCGCCCTGCCTGGGCGCCACCCATGCGAGTTTGAAAATGTTTTTAGCGCAGAAACCTCCCCAAGAGATAAATTCAGCTTCTTCCCAAAGTGTCATGGCGATCGTGTGAACGGTGTCACGGCAATTCACTTTTATTATTTTTATATACAGTATATAGAGAAAAATCGCACCCTCCCGTGGCGCCGCCCTTGTGAAATTAAAAATGATTTTTTACAGAACCCTTCCCCAAAGTGTTCTAATGAACTCACCAAAGTTTGATGGCGATCGGATGAATGGTGTCAAACCAAAATCGACTTTTATTTTTATATATCGTATATAGAGAAAAAATAAGTCGCGCCCTGATGGGGCGCCACCCCTGCAAATTTGAAAAGGTTTTTACCGCAGAAACCTTCCCAGGAATAAATTCAACTCTTTCCCAAAGTTTCATGCCAATCGGATGAACGGTGTCACTGCAATTCACTTTTATTATTTTTATATACCATATATAGAGGAAAATCGCACCCTCCCGTGGCGCCACCCTTGCGAAATTAAAAATTTTTTTTTTACAGAACCCTTCCCTAGAGTGTTATAATGAACTCCCCAAAGTCTCATGGCTATCGGATGAACGATGTCAAACCAAAATCGACTTTTTTTTAATATACCGTATATAGAGAAAAACAAATCGCGCCCTGCCGGGGCGCCACCCCTGCGAATTTGAATTTTTTTTTCACAGAAACCTCCCCAGGAATATTCTCAACAACTTCCCAAAGTTTCACGGCGATGTGATGAGAGGTGTAGTAATGCATAAAGGACAAACACACACACAAACACACATACATTGCTAGCGTACCCGACCCCCGCGCGTTGCCGCGGGGATAGAAGAAAGTTTGACGAAATATCTTAGGATTTCACCAACGCGTTATCAATTATAATTATATGTTCTTAGACGCGTGACCTTCTTTTCTAAAAATGAGTTATTTAAATGTAAACAATGCCTGTTCTTGGATCATCAATATCAGGACACGGGTTTACCTACACTACCGCATGAAAACATTGAGTGTACATTAATCACTCACTGAAATAATATGGTATAACACACTTCGGTGACCGCCTCTGTGTCAGAGACGTAGAGGGGCGCTCTCAGGGCCCCCACCCCCCCCCCCACCCCCCGATTTCACTACCGCATAGGCGCGGCGTACGACCCCTGGCTCCTTAAAACTAACAGGCGCCATCGGCCAAATAGCATCATGTTAAAAATGATGCAGATTTCGTCATTCGCTAAAGTGACACAAATGAACAGGATTTATTTCTTTAACACGTAAAAAAAAATTATTTGACGTGTTTTAAATATCAGTGTGACTGATGCAATATGCTAGCGTTACTAATGGTCTATTATTAGGTGCTCGATCTCAATTTCTGACTGGATTGTCTAATAATAGATGCTTATTGCATCATTCGCTAAGTGACGAAACTCTACAGTAGGCTCCTCATATTCAAAAAGTTATTTTTTCATCTTTCGCAAGGTGACGAAACTGTACAGAAGGATTTCCTCGCGTTACAAAGTTAATTTTAGAAGCCTGTTGTAGTTTTACCGCTGAATATAGTAGTACCCATTACTCGCTATGCAGGACGCTCGATTAACGGATGCCAAGTGCCAACTTAGTTGCTCTAAAACTCTGGGCGCCAAACCGTGTATTGACGAAAGTTGTACCCTATATGGCGCCGCCCGTAAGAAGCTTTAGTTTTCTTTTTTGCAGAAATATTCTCGGGAGTATTCTCATCTACTTCCTAAAGTTTCATGGCACTCGGATGAACCGCATCCGAGATTTATTTTTTATATACCGTGTATAGAGGAAAAAAATCGCTCCCCCGGGGGGCGCCGCCCTTGCAATATTAAACAATATTTTTTTGCAGAACCCTACCATTGAGTGATCTAATCATCTCCCCAAAGTTTCATGGTACACGGATGAACGGTGTGAAACCGAAATTTTATAAACCGTATATAGAGAAAAATCGCAGCCGCCCGTGGCGCCGCCCTTGCGAAATGAAAAAAGGAATTTTTTACAGTACCCTACCCTGAATTGTTCTAATCAACTCCCCCAAAGTCTCATGGCTATCGGATAACGGTGTCACACCAAAATCGACTTATTTTTATAAACCGTAAATAGAGAAAAATCGGACCCTCCTGTGGCGCCGCCCTTGCGAAATTAAAAATTTCTTTTTTACAGAACCCTTCCCTAGAGTGGTATAATGAACTCCCCAAAGTCTCATGGCTATCGGATGAACGATGTCAAACCAAAATCGACTTTTATTTTTTATACCGTATATAGAAAAAAACAAATCGCGCCGTGTCGGGGCGCCACCCCTGCGAATTTGAAATATTTTTTTTCGCAGAAACCTTCCCAGGAATATTCTCAACAACTTCCTAAAGTTTCATGGCGATCGTGTGAACAGTGTCACGGCAGTTCACTTTTATTATTTTTATATAGCGTATATAGAGAAAAATCGCACCCTCCCGTGGCGCCGCCCTTGCGAAATTAAAAATGATTTTTGTACAGAACTCTTCCCTAGAGTGTTCTAATAAACTCCCCAAGGTTTCATGCCTATCGGATGAACAGTGTGAAATCAAAATAGACTTTTATTTTTTATACCGTATATAGAGAAAAACAAATCGCGCCCTGCTGGGGCGCCACCCCTGCGAATTTGAAATTTTTTTTTTCGCAGAAACCTCCCCAGGAATATTCTCAACAACTTCCCAAAGTTTCACGGCGATGTGATAAGAGGTGTGGTAATGCATAAAAGACACACAGACACACACACATACATTGCTTTATATATATATATATATATATATACATATATATATATATATATACATATATATATATATATATATATATATATATATATATATATATATATATATATATATATATATATATATATATATATATACATATATATATATATATATATATATATATATATATATATATATATATATACATATATATATATATATATATATATACATATATATATATATATATATGTATATATATATATATATATGTATATATATATATATATATATATATATATGTATATATATATATATATATATATATATATATATATATATATATATATATATATATATATATATATATATATATTATATATATACTGAACATGGCCTTATAGTCAAGACTGAACATGACCTTACAGTCAACCTTTTTTGTTTGTTATTGTCCTACTGAATCAGGTCTAGGAGCCGAACTTGAGTCTGACCTAAGTCAGCGACCTTGCTCTTAACAACACCTTTATGACTTCAAGTCAACTAAAAAATACCTAATGTAGGCCTATATATATATATATATATATATATATATATATATATATATATATATATATATATATATATATATATATATATATATAGTAAGTCGATTGTTGATATTGGAAATACAATTTTATTTGATAAGATATACCTAAAGACAGGTATACGTGTGATCACAGTGCTATAAATACACCTAGGCATTTCCCGCACGCCGTCAATTCCTATTCTATTAATAGAGGACATAACAGAATCTAGTTAGTAAAACGTGTATGTCATTTTTTCCTTTCTTGTATACGAAGTCTAGAGGAATCGTGCAAAAAATAATAATAATAAACTCGAGATTTTCACAGAT